CGGGCAGGGCCAGGAACGGGGAGGGAATTGCAGAATCCACGGCTGGCGAGGCTGGTGGGACTGCGAGCGCCAGGAAGGCTACCATCGAATCTCCTGGGGCCAGCAGGGCTGCTGCAGCCAGGGGGCCAAGAGTTGTGGTGCCAGGTAGCTGGGGAGAGGAGCCCAGTAGATAGGTTGCCACCCCCCTCTCCCCCGACCTTCCTTGGTCCAGCAAACTCCCTTGTCCGTGACTGGTAAGGTCCTGAGGAAGCCAGATCAGGGTTGTCCAATCTGTAATTGTTTTCTTTAAATGTTTTGTTAGAAATCTGGACCAACTGTTACCAAAGTAGTAACTGTGGTGACAACCAAAAAAGCAGCTGTGGAATCAGAAAAGAAGAAAGGGGAGCTTATGGAGAATGACCAAGATGCAATGGAGGTAATTGAAAACTCTTAGGTGTCTGTTATGGAAATTGTCTGTTTTTCTTGCAAAAAGGGGCCCTGATTCAGTCAACTACTTAAGCGCATAAGTAGAGCTATTGGCTGCATTGAGGCTACTCACGTGCTAAAGGTTTGACATTTGGTTATGTATGTTGTTGAATCATGGGAAAATAGAGCTGACACTGATTCATTTAAAAAAATTGCAGCTCACACATTCATGTATAGAGACAACATGATAATGAAAATTAAATGCATCAAGTTGTTTAGGTCGATAACTTTTTAATATAATTCAGTTGATGTGTGGATGCCTAAACTTGGCAAATTCACATTTTATACACATATGTTGAAATTGTGCATTCCATCATGGCAGTTTGGCATGTGAATAATCAATTGAACATCTAAATGATTATGTATGTGTGTAGCTTCTAAACTCACATATTTAGTCACAAAAATTACATAGCTATTTGTATATGTTTAATTATCAAACTCTTGGTCTTACGTTTATTAAGTTATCTTTACACTTCAAGTTGATCTCAAAATACTTAAACATTAATGTGTTAAGACTCTTTGAACCCGTGGGAGGTGGATATTTTTATTTTACAGATTGGGAAACAGGTGGGGAGTGATGAGAAGGGAAATCGGCAAAAGAATGAATGTGTATAAAGTGGGAGATCTTCAAAACGTAAAGTAATTCTCCCTTTCATCGATGGTTTTAGTGCAGCACACCAGAGAGAAATTTCCCCCGTCAGTAATTTTTCAGTGCTATGCCAGTGAAAAATCAAGCCCTTGAAGGTTATTTTTATCACTGAATATATTTCTTTATTATCTTACAGTACTCATCAGAAGAGGAGGAAGTTGATCTTCAGACTGCCCTGACAGGTTATCAGACCAAACAGAGGAAGCTGTTGGAACCAGTGGATCATGGAAAGATAGAATATGAGCCCTTTAGGAAAAACTTCTATGTTGAAGTTCCAGAGCTGGCTAAAATGACCTTAGAGGGTAATGGCAAATGCAAATAGAATTTTGTACGGTAATTTTGTAAGGTAATTTTTCTATATTAATCCATATTATATTTTTTTTCAGAGGTGAATGTATACAGGCTGGAAATGGAGGGAATAATAGTAAAGGGGAAAGGCTGCCCCAAACCAATCAAAACCTGGGTACAGTGTGGTATTTCCATGAAGATTCTCAGTTCCCTCAAGAAGTGAGTGAACATTTTATGAACCAAAATACCTTTCTTCCCCCCCTCCCCGTTGCGTCCTTGTGTCATTAGACTGTGGAGTGTTCAGGCCAGGAAACGTATTTGTCTTACATATTCTCATTGTATGGCACGGTGAACACCAGTCATCTAAATTAAGGTGCTCACTCGGGATTTCTCTTCTAGTCAGTAATAAACTCTTCTTTCGTACCAGTTATGCAACACATGTTTCTTCATTGTGTTTTTGTTGTGCTGGTTTGACGTACCAGTTATGCAACACATGTTTCTTCATTCTGTATTTGTTGTGCTGGTTTGAGTGGGGTTTTTTTTGTTTGTTTGTTTGTTTGGGGTTATTTTGGGTGTATGGAGTAGGTTTTTTGTTTTAGTTTGTTTGTTTGGGGTTATTTTGGGTGTATGGGGTAGGTTTTTTTTTTTTTTATGAAACTGAAGTTTTTACTCAAATATAGAATATGTAAAACTTTCCAGCAGGATTATGTACAATTCATGAGAGATCTTTTTACTCCTGACACTTGTTGTTTTTCTTTCTTTAAGACATGGCTATGAAAAACCCACTCCAATCCAAGCTCAGGCTATCCCAGCAATTATGAGTGGGCGTGACTTGATTGGTATTGCTAAAACAGGAAGTGGAAAGACTATTGCATTCCTGTTGCCTATGTTCAGACACATCATGGATCAGAGATCGTTAGAAGAAGGAGAAGGTCCAATAGGTACAAATCTTTGTTTCCAGATATTGGCAGATAGATACTTATACTTTTTTTTTAAATGTTTTGAGTACCATAATTTAAACATCTGCATTTATTTTGATTTTTCATGTGAACTATGTTGTGACTAGGATATATCATGACAATAGAACTCTGTGTGTGGTATAAGTTCCCTATGCCAATGTGCAGGGCTCGACAAACTATAGAATCTACTTGCCCGGGGTGAGTAGATTTCAACCGCGCGCCCTGTTTACCGGCGGCACGCGCATGCGCAATGCGGCTCTTGCGCATGCACAGCGTGAGGCTAGCAAGTGGCTTTCGCTGCCGTTTGTCAGACCCTGCCAATGTGTAACTTTGGGGTTGATCTCCCCTTGCCAGAAGGTAAAATGAGAATCCTCAGAGCTCTGAGTTGACATCCCAGAACCTACCAAAAACATTTATTATGGCAGCTCAGTTTTTAAGCTCTGATTCGGCATGTAGGCTAATTTTACATCTGTCTGTTTCATGTACATTCATTCTTTTTGTTTAACATATCTCTATATATAACAACTTGTTAGGAAGAGTGAAAGGGAATTTTGCACCCTTTGATTTTTTTCATTGGGAATTGGCCCAGGGCTGATGTGTGATTTTTAAATCAGTGTAGAGTGAAAGGGAATTTTGCACCCTTTGATTTTTTCATTGGGAATTGGCACAGGGCTGATGTTTGATTTTTTTAAATCAGTGCAAGTCCTCATATTTATAAGAATCTGAAGTACAGAATTTTCAAATTGTTTTGTCAGATATTCCTTTATACCAGGGCAACTCAACATGCAGCCCATTTGTCTGCGGCCTGTGGTGTGGTTTGGGTTTATGTGGGGCTCAACATATAGCTCGCAGGTAGGAGCAAAAACAAAAAAATGGTTTGGGTTTATGTGGGGCTCAACATATAGCTCGCAGATAGGAGCAAAAACAAAAAAAATAGTCAATATAATGGCGTTCTGTTGATATACGTTTTAGCATTTAAATTCCTGGGCTCTCATTGCTCCTTAAAAGTGCTGTCATGTGGGTGGAAATCAGGTAAATTAATATCAACAAAACCGACTTAAATGGGGCCTGTGTGTTGTGTAGTCTCTCCTTAATTTTTGTATTCATGCTCACCTGTGTGAAAACATATTTGCATATATACTTGCATGTATATGCAACCACACTTAAGTTGTGGCCCTTGGCATGTGCTGTGTTATTGTGGCTCCACGGGCTTTCAAAGTTGAGTAGCCCTGCTTTATACATTTCTATAAGGTTTTCAGAGGGAGCTTCATTTCCTCTCTTGATGTTTGGAGGAATATGTACTTCACAACTGTCAACCCTGAGAGGGGTTTTTTCTTAATGTGAGCACTGAAGGTTCTGATGTTTGGAGGAATATGTACTTCACAACTCTCAACCCTGAGAGGGGTTTTTTCTTAACGTGAGCACTGAAAGTTCTTCCAACACAGGTGAACCACAGCTACATATTTCCATATACCTTGAAAGGAGGATTTTTTCCCCTTGCTATCACTATGTTGTTGGAGATAGGGATGTTGGATATTGGGTAATTGAGTAGTTAGAGTAAATGCATGAATTCTTACCAGTTACTTGAGTATTCTATAGTCCCTGAAGGGGGGGCTAGCAGCCAGTGCACTCTGGCCCCACTCCTGGGGAGTCCCCTGCTACCCCTTGCTGCTGCCTCTGTATCTGAGGCAGCAATGTAGGATGCCAGGTGAGTGCTGGTTTGTGAGGGGAACCAGCTTAAAAAACAGTGCAGGGTGGCAGACCCCACTGTGGACAGAGGCTGCTTCCAGGAAAATGTGTGTAGTCAACAAGAGCCTGCTTTTGCTACATTTCAAAGGCGGAAGTGCCATTAGTTCCCCGCTGTGCCTCTGCCCCTTCTTCCAATGGAGACAGTGCTGGGGGGACCAGGCTTTTAAGCTGGCTTCCCGCAACACCAGATCCTAATCCCCCACCTTGCTGTCTCTCTCTGATAGAGGCAGTAAGCAGGGGGAAGCGATACCTTGCTGCCTCTCTCTGATAGAGGCAGTAAGCGGGGGGAAGCGACTAGTTGAGTTGACTAGTTGCTTACATCCCTAAGCTATGGTCAAGTTTATTTTTAGTGCCAGGGCAGGCTCTATTACTGTCAATCTCTTGAAATAAGGATTTTTAAATGTACAGACAATAATTTATACAGTATAGTTAATTAGTCTAAAAGAGATGTTTAAAAATTGAACCTTCATGGTGAAGTTTAACTATGTAAAGTATCATCAACTCCTACATTTTTGTGATCAGTTTTAATAAATTTGTTTTTCAGCTGTCATCATGACCCCAACCCGAGAGTTGGCTTTACAAATTACCAAGGAATGTAAGAAGTTCTCAAAGACACTTGGGTTTAGAGTTGTCTGTGTCTATGGAGGAACAGGAATAAGTGAACAGGTACACTTAAAACATATTTTATCAGAAATTTCGTAACATTCATCACTTACCAACCTTTCTCAGAGGTTGTTTCCCATAAACCCCTTATTAGTTCTTATTTCAAATTTTTGCTTTTCTCTTTATGTTGGAGGTATGGTAGTACAGGCAGTCCCCGGGTTACGTACAAGATAGGGACTGTAGGTTTGTTCTTAAGTTGAATTTGTATGTAAGTCAGAACTGGCGTCCAGATTCAGTCGCTGCTGAAACTGACCAGTGGCTGACTACAGGAAGCTCGAGGCAGAGTTGCTCTGCCACGGGCTTCCTGTAGTCAG